TAATAAGTTCTTTGGTGATTCTGATGTGGATGACTTTAGGATCACGCTTGGGGAAATTTAAGTGTAGAGAAACAGGCAATGGCAAGGCAGATCCCAACGCTAGAGAAACTGAGTCACTCGGAAAGTTAATCAGAGGAAGACTAAGGCCCTAGGATTCAGTTAGCACAACTGCAATGCTAGGATTCTGAGCCTCAGAAAACAAGATGAAATCCTCCAGTCCTCTGGACTATTGGGGAAATTAAGCCATTCTGCAGGGGATAAAAGCAATGAATCAAATGTACATTAAAAAAAGATATTTTTTCCTAAGCGCAAGAAAAATCGTGATTATTTTGACCAAAAATTGGATGCCCTTTGCCCTCCCTCTCCTCTATTCATTTGGGTAGGCATTCGTTTATTCATTTATGTATTGACTCCACCGTGACTTCTGCTGCTATTGCTCCAACTATGATCTCACTCCTGAATCCAAGAACTACACCTAAAAATCCTCTTAAGAACTTGATATATACAAAGTCTAATTCATCATCTTTCTTTCCATCTCCAAATTAACTTTCTCTCCTAAATTCCCATTATCTAAAGGATCAAGAAAGACAATGAGAATCATGTTTTATATCTGCATGTCATGGACTAGAATACCAAGAAGTTTACCTATATTTTCTATGATAACTGGTAGAGGGGCAAGAGTTTTCTGGCCATTTTACTCATCTTGAAACAAAGACTTGAAGATGATGTGTAATTCACACAGAGACAGAGGCATGAGCCCTGCAGTCGTTATTCCCAGCTTAGAGCTCTTTTATTTGGCCTCCCATTGGTGAACTGAGTGTCCCTGGTGTGGTTTCGAACTGGGAAGTGCAGAGTTACCTACCAGGGTCTAAACTGTTTAGTGAACAATTTAATTCAAGAAGCATAAGGAAAGACTCCATCACTCAAAGTCATCTCCAACAATAGTTTAGTGTAGTGCCCCAAATTCTTCTACTTGCAATTCATTCTTTAGAAACCTTATTTTTAAATATAAATAAATGCCATTGCCAAAGTAAATATACAATTACATCAAAGGCTTTCGAACCAAATTTCCAGGATGCTTAGCAGTTCCCTGAACATTTCCTCAGACATGCACCAGAAAGAGCAGGACACACCAGCCCCTGAGCCCACCAATACCACCAGCACCACCAGCTTCAATAAGAGGAGCTACTTTTCCCCCTGATAAGTTTAAGGAGCTTCAATGCAAAAGTATTTACAGAAAATGTACTTTACCATCAGAATATTAAAAATCATTTGTAAGAGTAGAAAAAAAATGGAAACAGCCTAAATGCCTATCATCCTAAATTATAGTACGTCCACACAGTGAAATGACAAGGAAGCTGTTAAAAAGGAAAGCTAGACCTATATATTCTGATGTGGAAACAAATCTGGACACCTCATTAAATGGAAAAGTCAAGTAGCAGGAGAGTATCTATGGTGTGGTTCTAAATGTGTTTAAAATATACATTTATATGCTTGTGTGTGCATAAACTAGTTTGGGAAAGATACATAATTTCTGGCCTGGAAATTGTGACTTGGAGTTTGGGGTGTGCATTTAACATTTTACTGTATTCTCTTTTGTACTATTTCTCTTTTTAAATCAATATCATATATTGATTTTTAAATAAAAATTTTTTAAAAAAGCATATGAAAGTTATCGAATTAAGGCATCATTGGTCATTATGAACATCTTGGCAGATATTAGGTATCTCTTTCACAATAACAATGATCTCAGAGGAGAGAAACCCTTGAACAGGTAAACTTTGACATGAACGGTGTGGAAAGGGAAAGGCCCATATACAGAGTGTTGCGTAACAGAGAGTTAGGAAGATGGGGAGAGCTACTGATCTATTTGAGGCCCTGACATTTGACAGGAAAATACCACCTGACTAGGGGAAAGAAAAACAGAACAACTAAGAGAAAATACTCTCTTTTCCTATGTTTTTACTTGGTCCTCTTATTATGAATATAATCTAAATGATTTCCAGCAGGGAAACTAGGTTCAGAGGGCAGAGGAGTAAGAGTCAGCTATTAAAGGAAAATAATTGTCTTTGAGGAATTGGAAGGCTGTTATTTGGGTCGGACAATGATCCTGATGAAATCAACCAGATTGTTGCTCAGCTCTCCACTTCCTGAGTCTGGGCAGGAGGCACAGGGCTTATATTCTAAGGCCACTGGAGTCAGAAAGACTGGGTTTTGTGTTCTGGCTCTGCCAATTAACAACTTGTGACCTCTGCACAATGGAGGAATCAGACTAAATGTTGTCTAAGTTCTCTTCAAACTCCAAGCTCTGCTATATCACAGGCATAAAAACCTCCGAGGGCTTCCCACTCTCTACTTCCAGTTCCTGTCTCTTTCATAGACTCCAAGAGTGAAATACTTGCAACCCCTCCCCTTTTCTGTGCACCTTCTCTTTGCCAGGTCGCAAAGGCAGGTGCCTGTGCTCCTGGTTTGAGTCCATGACCCTGTGCTTCCTCATGGAAGATGAATTTTCAGCTCCTGCACCACAGCCCTGCCAAGCTATGCTCTCAGAGCAGTCCATCATGTTCACTCAGATGGCGAGCAAACTGAACATTACAGTTAATTAATCTGCATTCTCAAGCGGACTCCCAGTTTCCATTTGGGAATTCAATTTAGGTGGCCCTAGTCAGGCTATCTCTTGATCTACAAATCACTCTTACTTTCTGTTTTCCCCCGCAGATGAGGCACCCAACTCCCTCTGCCTCCTCCTCCATGCCTGATCTGAGCGGAAAGGTCAATAAGGACCAGGAGATGATGTCAGAGTCGAGCTGGAACAAGGTCAAATGTAGGCAGTATCTTAGATCAAGCGCAGGGCAAAGCTAAACTATAAACACTCTCTTGCCTGGAGACTTCTGCATCCTGTTAACACAGCATCCCATTGCTTTCTGAGCTCTCCCCTGGGTGGTCTTGCTGAAACCCATGGTTTGGAGAGTGTCAAAGAGCTCTTAAGTATAAACACAGTGTTCCAGCCAGCAGAGGCAGTGCACACAAGAGAGAGGGGCCAGGAATTCCTGGCTCATATTTTTTTTTCCCTTGCTTACTCAAGCAAGTCTTTTATCCATGGATAGGACAGTTTGTTTTTCATAACTTCAGTCATGGGAGCCCCAACTTCTGTAGTGTCTGAGAGTGATCTTGACTTCTTCACCTCCCATCCAATCAGTCACTGACTCTTGTTAGCTTAATTTCTTAGTTTCTTCAAATTTGTCCACTTCTCTCCATCCTTTCTGCCTCTTAGCCCTCAGCACTGCTTTCTGAAGGATTGGTGAAGCCTCTCCAATTGACTTTTCGGTGCCAATCTTGCTCTCGAAAACCCATTCTTGGCTTTGCTGCCTGAGTATGTAAATAAGCAAATGCAATTATGAAACCCACCAAACGCAATTAGGAAACACAGAAAAACCATTCAATGACCCTCACTTGTCTACACACACACACACACACACACACACACACACACACACACACACACACAGCCAATCCTACAAGGCCTTTGGTAACCTGGTGCCAAGTCTGCCCCAAACAACAACAACAATAAAAACAACTACTGGATATTAAGTAATGAGTATGTCCAGATAACAAAGTGAGCATTCTGCATGAGCAAAAATATGCTCTTGAACACGTCTTTCTCCTTCAAACCTCATCCCTTCAGTATATGCCATTTCTTCTGCAGAAAGGGCACTTCTCCCCACTCCTCTTGGCAATCCTAACTCCTTTCATTCAAGATCCAGTTTGTGACATCCTCCTCTGAGTCATAGCTCCCCTGCACATGGCTAATGACTCTCTCCTCTGAGTCCCCATGGAATCTTGTAATATCATAGCATATATTGCACTGCATTGCAACTGTTTAACATGCCTATTTTCCTCATTTGGTTGAAGCTCTTCAGGAGGCAGAGGCTATTTTTCATTCATCCCTGTCATGCCTTCCACTGTGCTTGGGGCTTGTACAACTCAGTTTTCAATAAATGAATGAGAGAGAGGAGCACTATGTGATTGAAAGGCAGGAGTTCAAGTAGAAAACATGGACCTGAGAGGGCAGGTTAGGAAGCTCTACTAGGGTCTCAGGTTAACCCACAAGAAGAGAGTTTTCCTTCCCTCCTCATCTCCTAAATACACAGTGGGGAGCAGAAGTCAAGGGCTTCTGAGAATGGGGATGGTGCTGAAAATAAACTTCACTCCAAAAGGGTTGAGGGGTTTTGCCATCTTAAGACACACCTTTGCAGTTGTGAGTTTACCTTCTGTCAGCTCCTAGAGGCTGGTTCAGTATAAAGCAGGCTCAATATGGCAGGATGCAAAAACTGTTTTTATTACAATGGGGTGAAAACCCAGGCATTTCCTTTACTCTAGGGGACGAGTTTAAGGCAAAGAGCCTTTATTTAGTAAAAACTTATTGTACCTCAACATTTTTCAGAATCTTTCACTCGTCTCTAATTGTCTTTCGCTCCCCCACCTTTGTGTCTACTTCCATTCCGGTTTGCAGATGAACAGCCCTGGCTGGTCCTTTCTGGTGACGTACCACATTGCAGTTGCAGATAAAAATTAGTATCTCCACAGATCACTGAATCCTAATTAAAGAGTTTTTTATCCTTCCCCTTTTTTTCTATTCACCACCCCCATCCCAGATTTTCACTCCAGGAATCTTAGCTGTGTGCACTCGGCAAAGGCCTCGCCATGCTGAGCCTCAGTCTCCTTGTCTGCGCAGTGTTTGCACAGGGTAGTAGTATTACCTAACTCAGGGCATCACTATGAGGATTGCAAAAGGTAAGCAAAAACTTAATGCAGATAAATATTAAATAATAACAGTAGCAAGAAACTCCATTGATGGGGCAAGGATGCCTTAGATGCTTTTGAAATTTTAGTCATTTAGATTTGTCTCTCTTTCTAACAGATACAACCAGCTTCTGAGTTGTTCCCCTCAGGAGCAACTATTTCCTTCTAGTCCCCTTCCTCAGTACCTTTACCTGGAGCCTTCTGTTGTTGGTCCTGTTTCTAAGCAGGCTTCCCTTTCCTCGATATGCCGCACTCGCATCCTGGAAGAGGCGCAGAGAAGTCCTGCAATTCTGGGTCTCTGTCCTTTCTGTGTATGTCCTAAATGCACAAATAAACCCATAATATCTTCCATAACTGTCTTGGAGAAACATATGGTAAGTGAAATGGGGATATTTACCCCACAAGGTCATCTGAATTTTTGTTTCAATTGAAGCAGGAAAATTCTCCACAAGCATCACCAAGGGAGCCCAATCTCCCAAAGCAAAGACTGAGGGAAAAAACCAAACTCAATGTGATCAAGTTCTCCACGGAGGACAGCTGTGCCTGATCAACGAAGGGGCGGCATCTGGGAGTGGCCCCTACCTCCTGTCTACATACTACCTGATTGAGGGACTCAATGCTCCAGCACCCGAAGAGCTTAGGGAGAAACAGAGCCTGAGAAATCCAGGGAGCTTTTGCGAAATTGTTTGGTTTCTGTTTGTCTGTTTTTTGAGACAGGGTCTTGCTCTGGTGCCCAGGCTGGAGTGCAGTAGCACAATCACAGCTCACTGCAGCTTTGACCTTTGAAGTGTACTCCTCACTCCTGCATGTTCTTGGGGCTGCATGGGGCCTCACCCTGCCTGCTGTCCTTCTCCCTCTTCCCACTCTGCTATGCCCCAGGACAAGGACGATGACGCTGCCTTTCCTGTGGCATCCCTCTGCTTCTCCCATTGCCAGTGGAGCTGTGCTCCTTCATGCCTGGCACTCAGACCTCTGCCAAAGATTTTCCTCTGATTATTATCAACAAGGCAGCTTCTCAGCTGCCCAGATTCCCTGACTAAATCACAATTTCTGAGTGTAGGCTCAGGGGCTCTCCACTTCTGGATAGCATTGCTAGTGGTTCTTACACAAGGTAAAGTATGAAAACATTTCCTACAAAAGAAGGGCCAGCATTCGTAGCCTGTTTAGGACCCTTCCTGAGCAATCTGTCTCCAATTCCTTGTCTCCAAGTTGATTTCCCAACTCTTCCATGACCCACACCTCCAGCCATGCCAGCAGGCATACTCACCTCTCCCCAGACATGACACACAGGTTCTACATCAAGATCCTGCTCATGCTGCTCCCCTTTCCTGGAACACTCTGTCTCCACTTGAGTCCTATTCTTCCCTCAAAGCTCACTTCAGTTCGAACTTTCTGCACATGAATTATTGAGACAGGTGTTGAAAGGCTGTGTGTCTTCAGTCTACTGCAAAGGACAGTGTGTGGTTCCTGCCCTCGAGGAGCTTTAACGCTGAGTAAGGAGATAAGACATTGTACATCAGCAACCATAATAAGAGGTACAATATAAAAGAAATAAAAATGTTAGAGAAGGGAGAGGGCGTGAGGCAACTGGAGAAGGTGTTATCCGAATTGGCATTTTCTGCAAAGCCTGACAGTGTGGATAGGACTGCAGATGTGGAGAAGTGAAGGCCAGGCCAAGGGAAGAGTCTGAGCAATGGCACAGAAGTAGGAATGGGAAGAGAATATAGAGAAAATGAGAAGTAACACAGTTTGGCTTAGCTCAGAGGAAGACTTCATGCAGAAATGTGAGAGACTCAGCCAAAATACAGATCGGGTGGTCTTAGCTCTCCTCCTCCTCTGAACTCCTTTAATTTTTTTGATCTGAACCAACTCAGCTAGACCACTTAGCATATACTGCCATGTATTTTTTTTTTAATTGCTCTACATATGTTTTTGAAAGCAACATTTTTCTCTTTATAAAACATTTTCGTTGGAGAAAATTTGGAAAATACAGAAAGGAAGTAAAATTTGAGTTACCCATAAATCTACCATATGGAAATAACTAGTTAGCATTTTGGTTAATCCTTAAATTCTTTCCCCCATCCACTTTTTTCACTATAAAACTGAAATTAAAACTGTGCAATTTTTTTCTTTTTTTATTGTGATCAAGTCTCACTCTGTTGCCCAGGCTGGAGTGCAGTGGCGCGATCTCAGCTCACTGCAAGCTCCACCTCCTGGGTTCAAGTGATTCCCCTGCCTCAGCCTCCTAAGTAGCTGGGATTACAGGCATATGCCACCATGCCCTGCTATTTTTTGTATTTTTAGTAGAGAGGGGATTTCACCATTTGACCAAGCTGGTCTCAAACTCCTGACTTCAGGTGGTCCATCCACCTCAGCCTCCCAAAGTGCTAGGATTACAGGCATGAGCCACTGCACCCGGCCAACTGTGTATAACTTCCTATCCTATTTTTGTCACTTATCAGAGTATGATGAACACAATCCCACATCTTTGAATATTTCTTGAAAACTTGGTTGTTAACGGCTGCATACTATTCCAACATACAAATATTCAAGTCTCTGTGTAACTCAGTATTTTCTAACTGTAATTTTTTGGGATGCTAATAAAAGGTACATTAACAGGTTAAACCAAGTTAACATATTTCTTTTTATTCTGGATTCCATAAGTCTTCAAAGAGTCCCATGTGGATTTTGATTCTTCAAAATGAGGGTATAGCAGATAGTATTCACTCTGGACTGTTTTTTAAACAAGTATCTCTTGGAGCTCATTTTCTGCAAAAGTTTGAGAAATGTTTCTCCCATTGAAGGATATTTGGATTGTTCCTAGTTTTTCACTATTATAAATATTTGATAAAGATTTTGTACACAAAATTCAGGCTGAAATTCTCATTATTCCTTTAAGATATATTTTTGGGAGTAGAAGTGTGTGACATTTAAAAAGTCAAAATGCATGACTTTTTAAATTAAAAAAACTTATTAAACATGATACTCCCCTCCCCCCTCCCGACTTGGCCATTAGCCTCTCTAGCTCCATGATTATATTATATATTTTGCATCTTCTTAGTGCAGAGTCTTGTGTCTTTTATTTAGAAAAGCCCTTAGCGAATGTTTGATGATGGTGATAACAATAAGGAAAAAGAAATATAAGATAAAGTGGTAGGTTGAGAGGAGGAAAGAATTGCATCTTACAGTTGAAAGTAGCAGTATAAAATAGTCCTTAAATGCAGGTTATTTTACGTCAGACAACCTGAGTTCATAGTAGTGCACTCGCCCTCTTTTTGACCTTAGTCAAATTACAGTGCTAATAATTTCTAACTCAGAGGTTTGCAGAAAGCACCAAATGAGAAAAGATGTATAAAGCTTATAGCACATGCCTGGCACATATAAGCATTGAATAAATATGGCTATTTATATTATATAGTAATACTATTATTACTATTATTAGCTGACTTCTGGAGTCCAATGGAAAGGTGACCATTTCTTTAAGATGTTTAAAATGTATGAGAGTTATTATACAGGATCAAGGCAAATAGCAGCTGATTGGAGCAAAGCTTGCAGCAAAAGAGACGTTCAGGTGCAATGGCTAGGGAATGGATAGGCTCTGCTAGAAATGGCCACCAAGACAGCAAATGTGAGCCAATGCAGAAGAGTGGAAGTCAGTCAAGGCAACCAGGGACTATATTAAAGATAAAAATCAAATCTGTTTTGGCATGGTAAAGACTAACATTTTCATTCCAAACTCCTCTCCCATTGGAAAACTCCATTCTGATCCCATTTTCCATTCCAGAGAGAATCAACCATCTCCCCCTGGACACAATGTGGTGGCCATCAGCTTGGGTCTTACCTGTTCATTTCCTGTCACCGCCAAATTCACAGCAGGCTCTCCAAGCTGGCAGCTCCTGCAGAGACACTGACAAGAGTGACTCTGAAGTTTGGCATCTCCCTGAGCCCTTTTATTTATTGCTCTATTTCAAAAAGGGATTTATCTGTGTGTGGTTGGGGCCATTACTACCTTTTTCTAGATTTCCTGGGTGTACCCAACCCAGAACCAAAAACCTGGCCATTTAGCTGCATCGCTGACACCTGAAGAGAGCTGCAACTCAACCCTCTGAAGCAAACCCTGCACAGTGGAGGCTAATGGTGCCAGGTAGGTCCCAGTCCTCCTCCATAGTCTCCTCCCCATTCTTTCCCATCACTCCCAGAGCTACTGAGATTTAACAAGCGCTAAAATTCCTTACATCTATTTACAGGGAAGGCCAATTTACCGTGATTAAATGCAAGGTAGCGTTCAATTAGCGGAAGATAAACACAACATATCAACCCACCATGATAATTTTTAAATCAAAAGTTAGAGCACACATAGGCTGCTGCGATAATAATGTACTAATTTAATGATGATGGAGCTTTTTAAGATCTTGCCATTCTCTTAGAGTGTGTATGAAGGACATCCCTAATGTTAATTAGAGCTCGCTTCATTAACAACTTAACCAAAAGACCATACTTTGTGAAATTATTTGGGAGCCTATAAGGAATGAGACTTGATGGAAGGAAATTACCATGAGTATCTTTCCCATCGGTTAATGGAGGGTATGATGTATAAATCATCAGCAAAGGCCACATGGTGACCGTCGGTAAAAGAAAGGAGAATTTGGAACTTGTGTATGAGAGCAGGGCAGATGGCTGTGAATAATGTGTGAAAGCACACGCCTCTTCATATATATGGTGCTCATGGTAGTAAAGACATGGTCTGCCATGCAAACTCCAGGGCAGCTTTGTTTGGCAGACAGCTGTTGCTTACACCTCTGGGCTTTGCCTGATAGAGTCAGGGCCACCTTCAGCAGAGTGTTAAAGCTTTAACAGAGAGTAAGTGCTTGGGAACTTAACGACGAATTCATGGGCCTGCACTCCAATTGGAGGGATACCTGTTAGATTCAGCACAGTTCTTTCTCTCCCCAGCAGCCAGTAGTTTTGAAGATATATGCACTGGTCTACAACTATCCAAAATGACTTGGGATTCTAGAGGTCGGGGTCCCCAAGATCCTAGGACAGCAGATTGCTAAAGTTGCTGTTCATTGGAATCAACTGGGGATCTTTTAAAAATACACATTTCTGGCTCTCATCTCCAGAGATTTCATCTGTGTGGGGTATGATCTGAGTATTAGGATTTTTTAGTTTCCTCTATCCAGGTGATTCTAATGTGCAGCAAAATTGGAAAATCACTACTCTACTACCCAAGCCCCGGGCTTAAGGTAAACAAAAATCTCTGAGCCCTGTGGCAGATGCTGGAATCTGAGCAGAGCCTGTTCCTGGCAAAGCTGTTGATCACTGAGAGGAAGGGTAGAGGGAGCAACGTGCTTAGAATTAACAGGTCTGGTTTCGAATCTCAGCACTCCCGCTTACTTTGAGTAAGCAAAGGAATACTCCTCTCTGAGTTTTCCACTCTGTTAAATTGAGGAAATGATGCTTCCCTCAGAAGTCGTAAGAGCATTAAATAAAACAATATATAAAGAGCTTAGCCTGTAATATGATAAGTGGAAAAATGGTTTGTCTAATCAATGATTATTAACTAGTTAAAGAGGAAAATAAATCATAAGCCAGTTAGTATCTAGTACTTGTTCAAAGTTGCTAAAGAAACTGTGAGCATTTTGTGCAAGTTCCTTAATAAACCCAGAAAGCAGCTGGTAATAATAGTGCTTTATTGCATGGCTACTATTAGCCAGGCACAGTTCTAGGCAGTTTATAAACATTTTTTAGGTTGCTGGCTAGTAGATATGTCAGTAAGGATTTTCTGACAAGGGATGGAATACAGAGTAGCCAGCTGTTCATAAGAAATTCCATGAATCCAAAGCACATGCTCCTCTGGCCTATGGCTGCAGGCCATGAGTGTTGAGAGGATACCTGCTTATTTTAGAAGTGGGCAAGACACACTCTGATAGAGAAAAGACTGGACTCTGCAAAGACCTGGTTACAAGTCTCAGTTCTTCCACTCTCAAGGTGACGAACTGTGGGTATGTTTCTTAACCATTCTGAATCTGTTTCCTCATTACATAACACATGGATAAAGACAGTTACCTCACTGAGTGTAAAGCATGAAATTAGATAATATATGTAAGAGTGCGGATCATGGTGCCAGGTACACGGCAGGAACCCAATAAACAGTTTGCTGAATTATACATTCTAAATAGCAGAAGAAGGGCACATAGTTTGGGAGGTTTCCAGGTGAGAGCCTGGGAGCCAGAACTCCTGGATCCTAAGACAGCATGGGAACTCCCATGACATGCATTCTCTTATTTCCCAGCAAATGCCAGGTCTAATGAGCTCTTGAAATTGTCCTTTTCCTGCTCCCAGACAAATTCATATACCTGTGGGCACTTTGTTCCAAGCAAACCCTTCAGCTGGAGCCACAAAAAGCAAAAGGGCCCGACAGCAGCCTGTGCCACCCCACAGGCATAAGGGCTCAGAGCCTCAATTAGAGTGTGGGCTGAGAAAAGCAGGGCCCAAACCCCCTCTCAGCACCAATCCTTTCTGCAGAAACAACCAACCCCCCTAACTATGAAAATCAATGGATTTTTCTCCCCTCCAATATCTAAATAGCTATTTGAATGTGTTCTGTAACAGGAGGAGCTGTTGAACAAAAGGTCAGAGCTGATTTGAAGTTAGTCTTTTTATCAGCAATTGCTTTTAAAGACACAATTCTCCCAACTCTGAGCCCCTGAAGATAAAAAATTATATAAATGTACAAATGACTTTATGACTTTGATTATACAACTTCTAAGGAAATATCCATATGAACCGTTAAGAAAGACTAAAGATATGGTGATAAAGAGGACTCTTTGAAATTCTGCTTTCAAAAAAAATCTATGTCATGAGATATGAATGTAGCCAAAGCCTTGATAAAAGTCGTGTCATCCTTTTGCCATAGAAGCCGCTGAGGCATGAAAGGGACCATGGGCCTGGAGATCTTTGCTGCCTTTAAAGTCTGGCTTATTAACATGCATTAGAGTCTTCCTGAAGATGGGTCTGGCCAAAGGTTATCAACAGAAACTTAATTTAATGAGCCCAGAACACGAGGAGAGGAGCCCTGCAAAGCCAACACTGAGAGAAATTTGGGGCAAGGGCATTTCATTTTCTGAAGAGGAGAAACAAAGATAAACTCATTAAAGCAGAAGGCACTACATTGTTGGTTTTTATCCTCAGAACACCACTCTCCCAGTGTGGTGGCCCCGCTCAGTTTCACTGTGGAGACTAAAACTCCACTCCACCCAGAATAGAACCTGATGATAATAAAGGCTTTAGAAGGTAAAGAAGAGCTATAGGGAAGGCTGGTTTACAGACCAACAGCAGCACTGAGATGTCACAGTTGATGCAGGCTGGAGTCCACCAGGCTTCTCAGGGCAGAGGAGGTGTTTTTGACATTTGGTTCACAGTAGATCTAGGTCACTTACTCCCATCATGGTTGTGCGGAGGCAAATAAGAATTCTGGAATCCTGAGGACATTGAAAGCTGCTTAAAGAAATGATGCAAATGCTCCCCACTCATGAGAATAAATTGTTCCAAGGCCAAAATGGTGGGAACATCCTTTGGAGATATGTGACACAGGGGTCACATATTGACACGCCTACAGGAGACAGGCAAAATAACACAAATTAGACAGCCCGGCTAGGACTGAGATAATAGGGCATGTTGGGACAAGGTTGTGGCCTTTTCTTAAGGAACAGCAGATCCTAAGCTTGAGTGAATGGTTGCCTCACTGGAAGGCTGACACATTGCCAGAACTGATCAAGCAAAGCTGCAAGTTGGAATTTTAATATAAAATCTCCTCATTTTAAAGGAATGGAAGCTAGGGTTTTTGTTGTTTTGTTTTTAATATTTTGTGGACAAAGCAGAACTTTTGTGTGGGGGTAGATATAGCCTGTGAATTTGAGGCATCTGACTAGAACATTAGATATTAATTAGCATGTGCTAGTACTAGAAGTCAGAGAGGAAAGTACCATTTAGAAGGCTAAATGAGTTATAGCATGTGCATTTATTTCTGAAAGGAAAGTATTCTCCAAGAAGAGTTCTCATGAATGACCACGTGTGCTGTGCATTACACACCTCTGGGGAGCGCCCTCTGTAACAAAGACTATATTAATACCCCTCTTGGAGTGGCAGTATATGAACTGAACAACCATACCCAGCTGCCCTGTTGGTGACACACACCCAGTTTTCCATCTCAGTGGGTTCCTGAGTGACAGAGAACAAACCAATTCAAATCCCAAATCATGGATTCAGATGGACCAGCACACTCATTCTTGGCTCTCAAATGGACTTTCATCAAAATCAATTATAAAGGTCTTCTTGACATTATAAACACCACCCAGGAATGATTAAATTTTTGTTCTTCCCTTGTGGGCCACAAATCAGGATGACCCCCAAAGTTTAATCAGCATGGATCCAGTGGACTGGACTTTGGAAGTGACTCAGCCTATGTAGATTCAAGTATATGAATAATTTTTTAAAAAAGGAAATGGAAATATATACATTCTATTAGTTCTAGTCACTTTGTGGTAGGTTTATGAACATTGCCATGTAAGGCTATATATTCTGTACTAGACTAATATAATAATGAAATGCTATTTATGCCAGTACTGGCTATGGAGTTATATCTCAAATGTCCCAGGGGCTGCAAAGGCAATGACGACACTGGCTGCTCTCTGGAGCAATAAGTCACCTGGACAACTTACCTCATGGCAAAGGAATGAAAGAAAACACCAGAAATTGGCAGGAGAAAGCTTTCTTAGCATTTTGAATCAAGAAATAATTATTTTCCTTTGGAAGCTCAAAATTGACAGAAATATGTGGCTGCAGTTAAGTATCTTCAATGAAGAAAAATACAGGAATATGTTAGTGAATGTGATCAGCTGTATTTCAATGGCTCAGAAAACATGTAACAGTAATTCCCATAAATAAGCCAGGTAGATAAAGACAAAAGGGGATAGAAACACATTTATAACACAGAATAAAAAATGTATCATAAACATTTGTTGACTAAAACAATATTTCAGTTTACATAATCCCCAAAGACAGTGTTTCATTTCTGATGACAAACAGTGGCATTACCTAGAGGAGGGGTTAGAAAGAAGGTTGGTTCTTTCGGCTGACCCTGCTGGGCTGGTGTTGGTGGCAGTGGTAGAACATGACAGCTCTCTGGCCCACTGGGTTACTAATGTGGACCTTACTATTCATTCACTCACACAGGCTGTCCTAAAATGGGCTAATCTGTGGTTAGTTTCTAGAACATGAGAAAAAAAATCTATGTGACACCCATCTTCTTGGTTAAGACTGGGTCAGCCTACCAAAAAAAAAAAAAAAAAAATTGAGTGTTCAAAGTAAGAATGGCTATTGCAGACTTGTTCAATGCTTTACAAGGGGAAAAAAAAATGAACTGCCACAAACAAAGAAGCATTAGATCAGAAGAGTGCAAGAGCCTAATAAACATCTTCATGAAAAGTTAAAACGACTGCCTCATTTGTCTGCAGCATGAGGCAGGCAGCACTGAGGGTGCTTCTCACTTCCTTTCCAAATCAGGGGCAATTTACTGGCTTCAAAATAAAGGAAGCAAAAGAGAAGAGGCTTGTCTGGTCAATGATTTATTCATGGAGCCAAGAAAATGCTTCTCCTCTAAAATGATATTTTTCCTGGGTTCTAACCCTTCAATCTTCCTCCAGTATGGGAATATATGTTTCTCTTCTCCATGTATTTTTCAGTGGTTTCCATTATTACGTGACACACTGTTCACCTCGATCTACAGCGCTGAGACCTCCGTGGGGTTGCCCTTGCTTAGAGAATTTTGCAGTGCCAAAACTCAGAACTGATGCTTTGTCTTGTCCGAGGAGCTGAGCAGTTTCTAGAGTGGGGCTTTCCTCCATACCCCAAGAAGAAATGCAACAAGGGGAGGTAGTGGCATCTGCAGTTGGTAATGTCCACAGTTTGTACACAAATGACTTTCTAAAAGCAAACAGATGAGTGGATGGGCTAGTGGCCCAAGAAATAGCCTGTTTGGGGGTAGAGATAAAAGTCTTAGCTTGTGTCTCTGGCTAATCTGGCTCCAAATGAACTCAGACTTTAGAATTATTATCCACAAGCACATGCGGATTTGCAAAATCAGGATATATAAGAAACTCTAAGCTGGGATCTCTGGGTATGCTTTAACTCAAGGGTCGGAGAACTCTGTATGAACCAGATACTGATGGCTTAATCAAAAATAAATACATAAACAAACAGTAAGGTGTGAATGAGTTTTCAGTATTATACAAATAACATAATGAGATATAATCTAGCCCGAACTGGAGTGAAACACCAGTTTGGAATTGAAAAATGTATCTATCCACTCACTTCTTTGTTGATTCTGAAGGAGAAACAGACTTAATAGAATAGTGTTTATCTGCAGAATCATTACTTTAGGCAGATGCTCCATTGTCTCTCATTTCCTACCCACAGATCAGCTTGGAAAACCGGTCTTATACCAGAATTCAACTCAGATATCATCTCCCTGAAGAAATATTTTCTCTTGGTATCCTGTGCTTCACTGGTGCAGCTGCATTTGTCACCCTGCTTTGTAACTCTGTGGCATGACTGATTCTCCTTAATAGGAGTCCTTGAAGACAGGTCCAAGGCTTACTCAGCTCTGTATCATGAGTACCTGGCACAGTCCTGATACATAGCACGTAAGCAAGAAATATTTACTAAT